GAGAGAGAGAGAGAGAGAGAGAGAGAGAGAGAGAGAGAGAGAGAGAGAGAGAGAGAGAGTGTCAATTCTCTCTCGCTTGCTGTTAATACTAATCTTATAATAAATATATAATAAAAAATTTATATTTGAAAATTTAGTACTTAAAAGTGAAAAAATATCTATCCATTAAAGAATATCATCAAATGTGTCATCGATAAGGGGAAAAACATCCAAATTTCTCCCCTTTTTTACTCTAGTCTTCATCACTTACAACCAACATGACAGAAATGCATTTATGCAAAAGAACCTACTTACTCTCTGATTTAAAAGAATACACAATGCCCTTGTGCATTCAATTACGGCAACTGGTGGTTTAGAATAAGACTTAAGCTAAAAGATAAAAAAGTATCTATATATCATTTCATTAAAAATAAACTTTTAGAATGCTTTTAGAACAAGTTGATCCACTTACTAACTGATTCATGGATTAAATATGGCCGACCCACTTAATGGGCTCCCCACTTCCACGTGCCATCTTAGCAATTAAACCTCAGAGCCGAAATTTAAATCATCTAATTCAGGCCATGTGGTAAGTGGGGAGGCCTTTAGGAGATTAGCAGCATCACTTTAAAAGGGGTTGAAAATATTTGTTCCGCAACCAGTTAGTTTGAAGATCATCTATTCTGAATGCGGCCTGGGTAATACCAGGCCTACCCAACTACCAGACTCGGCACCGAATGATCCTGAATTCACCGGTAGATCAGACCACACTACTCGTTTTCAAGGTGTGTGTCAGATCGCATTACACAGTATCATACCCTGAACAAATTTTGAGTAGTGATGCAATGCTTTTCAACCCTGCTGAGAATCGTCACTATCACATCACGTACTAGGCAAGAGGGGTGTCGCGTCTGATACTGTGTAATGCGATCTGACACACACCTTGAAAACAGGTAGTGTGGTCTGATCTACCGGTGAATTCAGGATCATTTGGTGCTGAGTCTGGTAGTTGGGTAGGCCTGAAAACAATACAATGAAAATAAAATAAATGTTATACCATTAAAAACGCATGTCACTTCTATACAACGACTGTAAATAACTTAAATGAGTATCCTTACGAAAATCTGACTGCAACTTTAACGCACACTCAAACAACAGAATCAATAACATTTTGACGAGTATCTTTAAAGTGCAACCTGGTGTGCATGCAATTGTACTTTACCTCAGATATATCAGACTTGGCTAAACTCTGAAGCTTATCCATTGCTCTATTCTGTAACAGATACAATTAAAAAAATAAATAGTTATTATTTATTGGGTTTATGTTTACTGCTCCTTAATAGCTGGTCCTGATGTAAGTGAAGTAACAACATTCAGAATAGCAAGAATATGCACATGTTAGCTATCTGGATATGTGTAATAGGCACCCAGAATAAATGATGTTTTAGTTCTCCAAATGCATGTCATAAATAAATAATGAATATGAAATGTGTAGATTAAGCATAAAATTATACAGTCAGCAACCTTACACTTTAGTTTCTCTTAATCAATAAAGTATATTAAACATTGCCTCCACTTTCTGAAATTTTCTAATAATAAAGACATCAGAGGGAAATCGACTAGAAATTGACTTTCAATTTAGATTTGTTGGATTAAACTAGACTTATTTATCTTTATCCCAACAGGAATACCCACCCAGTGATTTGTAAGAAACTCATTTAGTTCTTCTTCCTTGCTTGTAGCCTGGCCTTCCTCAATCACATTGCTTTGTAGACCATACACTTGCATCTACAAATAAAGAGGTGAAAATTACATTTATTAAAATCTGAGGCAAATGTTGGCAAAGGCAGTGTAATTAATTGTTTTTCTGAGAGATTACAAGAGAAACAATGAAATGCATAATTCCAGCATTGTACTTTGATTGTTGTACTGTTGTATCTATATAGGGATGTTACAAATATTTAGTTTTAAAATTTGCAGTGTTGAGTTAAATTCCATGGAACTTTTCTGGTTAATTCTTGAGACATTGAAATGTATACTAAGTTTTTTATCCATCTGGGATTAAACTTGGAAAAACCATTTTAACAAAATGTGCAAACTTCTTTTCTACATTAAATTAAAATAATGTGAGTTGCAATTGATTCTAACAATCCTAACCTTCNGTGTCTGGCAAAATCTGGCCCAGATATTGCCAGACTTTGCCAGATCTGGGCCAGACGTGGGCCAGATTACTGAGGCTGTCTGGGTTGTCAGTATCAGCAGGATAGCTGCCAAATTTTAATTTCACAATAAGAGATAATTTTTTCAAATGAATCCTAAAAAGACCTAATTACCTCATTAGGTCTTATGTACTAATACAAAAAGAAAATTTCATTTCGTGATCAAGATGGCAGAGATGCTGTTCAAAACAGCCATATTACACAAAGGTATATTCTACAGGTCTCAATACAAAATGAAGATTTTTTCAGTATGATTCATCTCATCTTCTTACCAGCATGCACATTCCTCTTTATGAGGATTTCCATTGCTCCTTTTCTGCACAAGACACCAGCGGACCAGATATACATCACATCACCTAGCAACAAGCAGTCAGAGATAATTCTGCCAAGCAAGGAACCCGAGTAGCCATTTGTAAACCTGTAACTCAAGCTCACTCTCAGGTCTTCTGGATTGTAATCCTTGGAATTCAAGTGAGGAAAATAGTTTTCCTGAAAAAAAAGGAATTTTTCATGTAACATACTTTTAAAGTGCATTCACAATTAATTGTTCATACTAATCTTGCTAGTTTTGCGCTAACTCCATGGGGACTCTTGCTGAATGCAATAAGATTAACATATTTAAATGCCTCCTGCTGTTGAGTAAAATACAGAAAAGCTGGTGATTATAGGAAAGCACGTAGGAAACAAGAGGTGTGTTAATTTTTAAATCTTAATATGGATGCAATATTGTCAACTATGCATGTAAGAAATTAAAAAAATTATCAGACAGATATATCATAAGGATATTACTTTAAGTTATGCTAGTTGTGTTTGCTGTTACAATGCACACATATTTACATGAAAATATTTTTCTGAAAGTCTATCTTTAGATGCACCATCAAGGTACAAGTATGGTTTTGGCTGCAGTTGCACAAATGACGCCAGGAGGAATGGAGGGTCTTCTGGATGCAGACGACAATATGGAATTTTAAACATGCCTCCATCATGGAACATAATGCTCATCCAATGAGAGAACTATGGAAAAAAATATGAATTGTACTGTAAATTATGTTTACTAGAAAATGTACCAAGTGCAATGTCTTTATCAGATAGAAATGTGACATTCTAATCTCCTTTAGAACATATTCTATCAGGCAAAAATACTTCTTACTGATATGATAATTTGAACAAATGTAAATAAGAACTTTTATTAACCATTCAGAATTTTAAGTCATACACCTTGTTTTTACTTTCAGTCCTCCCCCTCTTTTCTTATAATGTAAAATCCCTTTCTTTTCTAGAATTCATGCATCTCTATGTATTTCCATGTTTCTTCTATTTCCATTCCAATTACTGAATATTACTTCAATGTATCAAATAAAAATAACCAACCTCTTCATCAGTTGCAAGTTCTCCAATTACATTTCGCAGATCAGCCATTCTCAAAAGGCTTTGTTCTGCTGACAAAGATTTGATGCGTCCTAAATTCTTAAAGCCCTCAATTTTGTACAATTGTGCACTAAGGTTCAGAAACCACTGGATGTCAGTCACAACATATTGTTCAGGTGTGTCTTTCAGAAAAACTACTTTGCCCTAAAAAAATAAAAAAGAAGGGGAAACAAAATATATTTATAACTACAATTTAAGAGTGTAATACTATAATTTAAGAGTGTATTACAGAAAAAACAAATTCAAAAATCTGACATAAACTTATTTTAAACTAGTTTGTAATGAGAGTGATTTTTCTGTTAACCATATACATGTACATCCATCCATCCATCTACTGATTGCTACCATTTACTCAGGATAAACAGATATCATACCTGGTAGTATTCTAATAAAATACACTTCAATTCACTACTTGACAAGAGTTTATTTGCACTGGATCTCATTTGCCAAAATATCAAAATACCAGTTAAGTTTTCTCATTTAAATGGTTACTTACCATTCTGTCAAGCCTGCTGAGTGCCTGAGCATAAGCTGCCGGATTAGCACCAAATGGTTTCTCCTTCAACTCTGACACCAGTTTGTCCAGTGAGCATATTCTGTGGTTTGGGAGGGCCTTTGAAATATCCATAAATGGTCCAGAGAACTCTAAACTTTGCTCAAAATTCATTCCAACAGCATTTGAGCATAATGCTGATAGTCTTGACAGCAAAAATGCTGCACCCTGAAACAGAGTGACATTAACAAATACTTTAAAATGACATAACCATATGCATGTAAGGGGTGGTGTCAGCAACCATTAATTTTATGTATAAAAGTTTTAAAATCGAACAGAATAAAGAGATCATCTTAAACTTCTTTTATCAAATTTTATCAAGTTTTCCATTTTTGACCCCATGATTACTACACAATTTAAATAAAAAAATAAAGTTTAGTTTGACACATGGCTATATAGTTTATTACAAAAGAAGATATGAAGGATAAATAAGGTACTATCAGATGGTCCCAAGCCTAAATCAAAGTCTATTAAATTAATTACAGAAAGAAAAGGATAGTTAACACAATAGATATCTGTGTGTGTGTGTGTGTCTGTGTGTGTGTGTGTGTGTGCGTGCATGTGTGGGTGCATGCATGCATGTGTGTGTGTGTGTGTGTGTGCGTGTGTGTGTGTGAACGAATGCACACATTCCTCTATGCTACAGTACACCTCCTGTCTTATTTAATTTTCAAATGTTTGTACACGTAATTGTGTGTGCTGTAGTATGGTAATGAGCACATCCATAACAGGTGTTAAAATGAGTTTAAAGTGCAATACCTGTCCATATTCTATGATGTTCGACACATTGGATTCTTTAGATGTTGCGTATTTTATCTTCCCATAGGCATATACAGCATGCACCCACACATGAAAAGCTACACCTGCATTTGATACTACAGCAATCTGGAAAACAAAAGCAATCAAATATTTTTTATACAAACTACTAAAAGAACCAATAACTTTTATTTTCTATTTCCTTTATTCTTTTAGATAAGAGTAAATGATTCAAATAATGAGAAAGCATCTCAGTGGTTTTTATTCAAACAATTTGCATTTTAGTGTTCTCTTTTATTCAACTAAAATTTCCAAGGAGAACCAAATGCTGTCTAATAAAAATAATATTTGGATTTCACAATATCAAGAAAATTTTTGATAAATTAACCAAACTCCTACCTTTGATTCAGTGAATCTTTCATCATTGATATACGCCTCAATTTCTGCCATTTGCTCTTCTGTAACAGTGTCCTAAAATAAAATATTTTCACAAAATGAGGTGCATTATTCAAATATATATTTTTTTAAAACACTGGAGTCTTGGGAATACATACATTAAATTATATTGAAATGCATCACAACTGCTTTCTTATAATGTGGATATTTAAATTATCCAACCTGGTATTATCATAAACAAAGTTGCCAAAGTTTTGAGAAAAAAATGTACGTCAACATCTAAAACCTTACCAGTTCATAAGAATGCATATCCCTCAGGAAGGAAAAACTTGAGATAAGTTTCTTTGCTGTTGGCCACCATTTACTAGCATCACTGCTATCTTCTACTGTCTTGGGCTACCAAAAGCAATGAAAATGTGTTAAGAGAGAGAGTTATAATAAATATATAATAAAAAATTCATATTTGAAAATTTAGTACTTAAAAGTGAAAAAATATCTATCCATTAAAGAATATCATCAAATGTGTCATCGATAAGGGGAAAAAAAATCTAAATTTCTCCCCTTTTTTACTCTAGTCTTCATCACTTACAACCAACATGACAGACATGCATTTATGCAAAAGAACCTACTTACTCTCTGATTTAAAAGAATACACAATGCCCTTGTGCATTCAAGTACGGCAACTGGTGGTTTAGAATAAGACTTTAGCTAAAAGATAGAAAAGTATCTATAAATCATTTCATTAAGAATAAACTCTTATAATGCTTT